TGGGAGCATAGGCTGGAATTGTGACACGAATATTGAAAGTATATGAAATGACTTGTTTCATTGAGGAGCGTCGGCTCCAGTTGTAGAACGAATTGTGACAGTACAAGTGATAATTGAACCTCTAGAGCATTTACTCGAGTTGTGAAGAGAAGAGATCATTATGTTGCCCTCTTGACGGGCTATTGTTGGGTTGTGATTCCTCTGCATTGTGTTCTTGACGGATACTAGGGTCGCTTAGGTTAATGTTTCCTTGTGTTGTAGGATGACTATAGTTATAGCTGGGATGGTTAAGTAACGTAATAGGCTAGCTATCAATGGGGTGGTTAGGTGAGGTAATCGGTTAGATATAGCTGAGATGGTTAAGTGTGGTAATAGGTTGGTTATAGCTGCGATTGTTAGATGTTGGGACTAATGTGGTTATAGTAATCCCCTTGCCGGAATATTTGAGATGATGTTTTGTCCCCTTACTAGGAAGTCGTTATATTGTTGTTTGTGACGGAATATGAGGTAAGAGATTTCTTGGAGCTTGGGCTCCAGTGATATCGTGGGATAAGAAAAGTAAGAAAGAGAAAGCGTTGTTGATTATTCCCTTGCCGGGACGTTTGGTTGAACTTGTTGGATTCTTTCCCTTGCCGGGATGTTTGTCAAATATTTGCTTATTTTTATGCCCCTTTATTGTGACTGTTGTTTAGGGAGTCGGGCTGTTAAATGATATTGAGGATCGGGTTGCGCGCCGCAACAATGATATTGAGGATCGGGTTGCGCGCCGCAACAATGATATTGAGGATCGGGTTGCACGCCGCAACAGTAAAAGGTGAGGATCGGGTTGCGCGCCGCAACAATGATACATGGTAAATGATATGGGTCGGGTTGCACACCGCAACAGTGGTATTTGTGGAGCGGGTTGCACGCCGCAACAATAGTGATTATGGAGCGGGTTGCACGCCGCAACAGTTATTGAGACTATGTGTTTGTATTTGAGTATTGGTTCATTGTTCATCGTGAACCTAAGTTGTTTTAGTTGTTACTCTTGATTGCTGTTAATATTGTATCTCCCCTTAGCATGTCTCCCCTCCCATGTTGTTAATTACTTGGTATTCGATTTCCACTGTATATTTATAACTGCACAGGTTTATGTGATGTCCAGTCTAGCCTCGTCACTACTTCGCCGGGGTTAGGCTAGACACTTACCAGCACATGGGGTTGGTTTTGCTGATGCTACACTCTGTGCATTTTTGCACTGGTCCAGGTTTTGAGGAGCAGCAGCAGCAGTAGTTCGGGAGCAGACTTTCTTATTCACGAGACGGAGGTAGCCTTGCAGGCGTCCGCAGGGCCCGGCGTCTCTCCTCTATGTTTTCATTTTGACTGTTGCCTCATTGTTTTCGAGACAGACAGCTGTTATATCTCTTTCAGACCTTTGTATTTAGTTTATTCTTAGTGGTTCATGAGTAATGTAACACCAAATCTTGGGTAGAGACTATTGTTGACTATTCCGCGTTTTGATTCAGACTTATAAATTAGACTTCCGCTATTGTTGTTATTAAATTCCATATTTCTTATTGATGCTAAAGATTGTTAACAGATTTATTTATTTAATGAAAGGAAAATAAGTTGGCTTGCCTAGCTACCACGAGTAGGCGCCATCACGATCCCGATGGTGGGAAATCCGGGTCGTGACAAGTTGGTATCAGCAGTATTGATGCAGGATGGCAAGGTTACTGCTTATGCTTCGAGACAGTTGAAGATCCACGAGAAAAATTATCCGGTTCAGGATCTAAAGTTGGCAGTGGTTGTTCATGCTTTAAAGATTTGGAGGCATTATCTATATGGTGTGATGTGTGAGGTGTACACGGATCACAAGAGCCTGCAGTATCTGTTCAAGCAGAAGGAGTTGAATGTGAGGCAGAGGAGATGGCTAGAGTTGTTGAAAGATTATGATGTTACTCTCTTATATCACCCGGGTAAGGCCAATGTGGTGGCCGATACATTAAGCAGGAAGTCTGCCAGCATGGGTAGTCTTGCGTATATTTCGGTCCGCCAGAGACCGCTTGCTTTAGATATTCAGGCGTTGGCCAATCGATTGGTGAGATTAGATATTTCTGAGCCCAGCAGAGTGTTAGCTTGCACGGTCGCTCGTTCTT